TGCAACTCGTTAAAACTGTTTTCGCAAGGTATCAATGATCGCAACTATAAAACAACACAACACGAGGCTGCACTTCTTTCATCACTTTTCCCAGCGACGCTTATCGTCGCTGGTTTTTGTCTAAGACAAGGTTAGCTTCAACTACAGCGCGAGAGAGAAACGTCTTGATTAGACGGGAAGAGCTTTAATTACACAGCACGCTTGAGCGACATACCCAGCGAGAACGATTTCGCGAAGGTGAAGGGAAAAAGAGAGAGACGTGCAAGTATATGTTGGTCCAAGGTTAACTCCAAACTCTAGTCTTTGCTTCGTCAAATTTGTTTAAACTGTCAAAAAATATTCTTATAATAATATTAGGTGTACAAATGAATAATCCAAATTATTTTAAGCAGTTATGAAATCAATTTTAAATTGAATAGATTTTCCCGCTCTTTTGTGATTATGCAATGTTGACATATAGCTATTAAAAAGAGCATATAGTTTGGCGAAAGGCTCAACGTAACCTTCAAAAGTATTCGGTTCAGTATAGTCGAAAACGGCAACAGATAAGGTGCATATCCGACACTGCATTCTTTACGAATTCCAACAAGGAAAAAATGCTGCAAGAGCGTGCGAATCGATTTGTTCCTTTCTCGGCGAAGGTGTTGTATCGTACGATGTGTGCGCATTTTCGTTTAAGCGGTTTAAAAGCGGTAATTTCAGTCTAATCGACAAACAACGCCCTGGGAGGCCCTCCGAAGTGCGATAATGATGATTTGGAACAACTGCTCGCTGAGAATTCGGCACAGACACAAAAAGAGCTTGCAGAACAGTTGGGAGTAACGCAGCAAACGATTTCCAAACGCGTACATGAGATGGGAAAGATCCAGAAAGAAGGAAAATGGGTGCCTAACCGCATGAACTCACTGAAACCAACAAAAATCAACGAGTGGCAGCGTGTCTTTCTCTTCTCAATAAGCAGCGTCGAAAGCAGCTTTCTTGTGGAAAATCGTTACGGGCGATGAGAAATGGATACTCTATGACAATCCGAAACGCAGAAAGTCATGGGTAAATCCCGGCGAATCATCACAATCGGTCGCAAAACCCAATCGCTTCGGAAAGAAGGTTCTTCTCTGCATTTGGTGGGATATCAAGGGCGTGCTTTATTATTAGAGTTGTTGGAACCGGGTGAAACAGTTACTGAGGACTGCTACCAACATAAATTAATCTGCTTGAGCCCAAGAATTGGAACGAAAACGCCCGTATACTGGTAAAGGAGATCGTCCAGTGAAATTGTTGCATGACAACGCCAGGCCACACATTGCTTTCAGTACAAAAGACACCATAATGATTCTTGGCTGGGACGTCTTGCAGCACGGCCGGCGTATTCACCAGACATTGCTCCATCCCGATTATCACTTGTTCCGGTCGATGCAACACGCCTTGTCCGATATGCACTTCCAATCAGTGGATGAGATCTGAAAATGGCTTGACGACTTCATCGCGCCCAAAGACGTAACATTTTTCCGAGATGGAATTCATCAGCTGCCTGAAAGATGGCTTAAAGTTACAGAAAGCAACGGCGAATACTTTGATTGAACAGTTTGATTTACTTTCTTTTAAAATAAACCTTGAATGTAACTGAAAAAAATTGGATTATTCATTTGTACACCTAATAATATATAATAACAATATTACTAAATATTAAAAATATTCTTGCTTGAAGAAGGCAACAATTTACACCCGCGAAGAGGAACCTCGCCGCGAGGGGAGATTCCACGGCGTATACGTAGAGGCGCAAAATAAAATCTTTTGACGGCGGGTTGGAGAGGAGCGCACGTGAAATGATTCTCCGCTAATTAAATCGTTACGCGTCGCAGGTCCTTCTGCGACGTACACACGCACCGGCTTCGTCCGCTTAGCCTCTTCAATTATCAGGCTCAACTGTTATGCGCGCAGTTTGCGGCGGTCCGATAAAGCACCCCTGAAAATCCCCGACTGGCGAACACTATCCCCGAAAAATACGCCGACCGCGAAGGCTTAACATCTCCGGGGGTGGTATTATCCGCGAGCGGCGGGCAAATCCCTGCTTCTGCACGAGCCAACGCTTGGCTAAGGCAGATTGGTGCGGGAGATCAGCGAAGTGGGCAGCGACGACCCTTGCGCTTGCTGGCGAAGTTTAATCAGCCGTACCAACGTACTCCGAGAGTCGCGCTACCCTCGGCTGCACCTTGCTGCGCGACGCACTTAATGGCGCCCACCCCCGCGAGGAATTGATGCGACTAGAAACTCACTGTAAAATCCGCCGCTAAACCGCGGGACAAAGTTGTACGCTACCGTGTCGGCGAACGAATGGGCGCATTAGCGCGTCGCGACTTCGAGGAGCGTGACCTCAATGTATCGTCGCTGCATGACGGTTTCGCCAGCTCTTGCGGGTTGCGCGATCGAGTCACAGTCTTCAGGGACATCTCCATGCACGACTAGCTCGAACGAGATGAAAGGGAGGATCGAATCCGAGATATCGATACTTTGCCGTTATTCGTATTGCAAGACTGCGTATCTTTGCAGAGAAGAATGTAGCCAACAAAAATGTTATAATATGTAAGCAAAGTTGTCGATACATGACTGTTCTCATTTATGTGATTATACAAAGTGTCGAAAAAAAAGGCTCAGAACTTTAAGGGCAGACAGTACTGACAAAATGGAAAAAAGAAGTCCTAATAAGCATGGGTCGAAAAATTAATATATCGGAGTATATGGACAATTATTTATTTCAGTTGTAGCAAGTGATTTACTCGCTTCTGATGCACAGCCAGTAAAAATTTTGTGATACCCCTCTGCAATTGTTCACTTTTTACGGAAATAGATGAAAATATATGATAATGAAAAATATATGATAAATAAATTGCTTGGTAAAGTGTATAAATAGGAAGAAAGTAGATGTTTGTTTACATTCCAAGCAAGAGCGAAGAGATTTTCTCTTAGAGATTCCTTTAAAGCATGATACTCTTCATCGATAATTGACAAATTGCATCAGAGAATATAAAAGCACCGGAAGCAAATAAGATAAAAGTACTAATCGCCGGATGCGTGTTTCCATATCTGGATATATAATATGTACAGAAACATATTATTATTAACCTCAAATATTTTCTCTTGTTTAATATTAACATTTGATCGAAATCTGTCAATATTCAAAAATATTTACATGATAAAATATTTTGAGAATTGTAAAATTTGATATTCAATAAAGAAGAAAATTATAACGTGATTAGATACGGGACATGCTTTAACGATGTTCTTAACATTTTCTTAAGAAGTTTGACATTTGTTAAAACATTACTCACTTACTCTGTTGTTTTATCTTATAAACATTACGGTATTCAATCCGAAAATGATAAAGAATAATTATAAGAATGCATTTAATTAATAAAAAAAGTTATTTATAAATATTAGGTTGGTGCAAAAATAATTGCGGTTTTTCGAGTATATATAAAGTATTTATAAAACGCATATGTCGAGTATAAAGACGTATATATCAGTTAAAAATTATATTTATTAATCAAAATAAAGACCAGTGGCCTGCACACATTTCCTTCAACGGGAAATAAGTTTGTTTATTTCTACAAGATAGAATTATGAAAAAGATAACGGTAACTAGAAAAATCAGCGTCAAACTTAAAATGATAAAAACCGCAATTATTTTTGCACCAACCTAATAAATTTTATGAGTTTTGCTATTGATACAATAATTTCATGAGTGCCTAGTAACCGACAACATGCTTAATTACCGGTGTAACTCTCTTGGTGACATATGTGCTCGCAAATATCAATAAGTAAACTGAGGAATATAATTGACGTTAAGATTAATTCCACAAGTACTTTTATAAATAAAGCTACTTAATAGTACTAGCAACATTAGTTTAAAAAGTAAATAGATATTTCAGTGCTTTAAAAATATAAAGCTTTCATTACCTTTCGTCATAAGTATTACGATAAGCTCTATTACACAAGGTATTTCAGACTACCCGTTCGCCTTTTAAAATAAAGGGAAACGCTTTTAGCAAAAGTCCCGAGAATTCTCTGACTAAATCGGATACTCTCTACCCAATAGTAATATTTAGAACTTTCGGCAATTAGCTATGAAAATACAAGAAAATAATTATTGAGCAACAGAGAAAAACCAAGCAAACAAGAAAAAATTATTTGAAAAAATAAGAGATTTAATAAAAAAGTAAAAAGCGCAAAAGAAATTAAGAAACTCGAGTAAAGTCCATAATTTAAAATAAAGTGTATAATTGTTATCTTGTACAAGACATAGTTTATAAAATGTTCATAAACAAAATAATGTTTAACATAGAATGGCTTCAAATAGTCGACAAAACTCAATAAAGAAGTGAAGGTTTCATTCGCATAATAATTATGTCCGGATATTAGGTCGACAGAGTTTATCAATCGGGACAATTTTGTCCGAATTATATTTATGCTAAAATTTTGATTATATTTTAATTAACTTTGAAACTTTTTGTATCCTTCATTTCTTAATAATAAACTTTGATATTTCAGCCTTCAATCAATTGTATATTTACATCATTAAATTTCTTGTGTCTTTATAAAATTAAGCAGTCGTAACATTGCGTCATTAAGTGTCAGGTAAATTGGGACATTTACTTTAAGTCACTTGTTCTGATTGAAATAAATAATTGTTAATAACTCCGACGATTATCCCATTTATTAGGATCATTTTCCTCCATTTTGTGTGTTGTCCGCCCTTAAAGCGCTAAACTCTCTTTTCTCTCAGACATCCTGTATAAAATGTTACAAACAAGAATTATATACAAACGCAGTGTATGTGACAAATGCATTATACATTCATTATTAGAGCAACAACGTGGTGGTCGCACGAGGTGGTGACGATTAATCATGTCGATTAACATTTTTGAAAATTTGATTCTGCGACGAAAAGGTAGAATCTTAAAGTAGATCCCTTTTCGTAAAAAATACGTCCGATTATCACTCACCGTTGTTGATTATTATTCGCGGTGGGCATAGGAGTCGGCACTCTTGGAGGCGGAACTGGTATAGCTTTCCTTCGGCCTCCACCGGTTTGATGTACTGTTGGTGTAACTCTTCCGGTTGGTGCTATTCGACCGGCGGTTCGCGGTCTTTCCGTCCGCACGTCCATGTTGTGTGTCTGTACAAAGAAATAAAATAAAATTTGGCTTACCGATTAAAAATTCGTTTTTAATCGGTATTCTTTTTTTGTCACGAAACGTTTCCCCATCGCGGAGAAAACAAACAGGAGAATGATAAGAGAAGCATATTTGATAAAAGAATAAGAAATAGATAAGAGAATGATAAAAGAAATAACAGAATATTTATGTCGAAAATATAATTGCATACAAGTGATTTGTGTTACACGTTAATCTTTCATCGATCAATCGCTGTACCGACGATACTAAATATTTTGTTAGCGCGAGCACAAGACGTCACCGGAAAATTGTGGAATTGAAATGAATAGGAAACCGTCGGTCGGCGAGTATGCGGCGCAAAAGTATCGCTTCTCCGTAACTAACGCTGAAAAGCGCTGAACATCAGAGAAATGATGATAAACTTCGAAAGAGCGAATGTTTGGAAAGGACTGACAAGAAAAACGAAAAAGACCGGCTGGCACGACTAGCAAACGTTAAAACTTCTGCCTCGTGGTGTGCGTCGTCGACTTCGCAGTTCGCTCTCCCGCTCTCGCGCATCTGTTTCCCTTCGTTTATTCAAACTAGTTTAACGCGTCAAACGGATCTGGATACGATTCAGTGACGTTACCATTAACCTGAGGAACACCACGAAATAGCCAACCGAAGCGCCCGGAACGGAAAATCAAATCAACACTACGTGTACGCGCCACGACAAGCCACGACCGTCTTAAAATTTATCGATTAACAATCCGGAGAGAGCAAGCAATTTTGCGAAAGGCCGAAAGCTGGCATCGCGCTACAAAAAATAGAAAAAGAAGACGAGAGGAGGTGAAGACGATGCGACAGAGATGAACTTTCAGCAAGTTTGATTATTAATCCACGAGTTTATCGTATTTCTCTTCACGACACCTCTCGCCTCGTGAATGTCCTTATAAAAAGGGAGAAAGGCGATGCGCCATGAAGGAGGCTTGCGTCTCGAACTGACGTCCCCCATCCCCGTCGTACCCCCCTAGCCCATGGTTGACGAAAGAAAGAAGTACGCCCGTACAATCTCACCGGTAGTGCAACATTGTTGTCGCGGACGCTTTGGTGTCGCGGGCACAGAGAACGCGACGTCGGCGAAGGAGGAGACAAGGAGGAAGGGTGGAACGACGGTCGACGCGATCATTATTTCCCGACGTGTGTAGTCCACCGAGATGGGGATGCCGGCGAAACAATGCGCGCTAGCAAGTTGGTTTAAATATTCAGCCTCCGGCGCGGATATACGCGCCATTCGCGCTCGCTCGCGGATGCAGCAACTTGAGACGAGAAGCCGTGTACCGAGGTAAAGAGAAAAGAAGGGAGAGAATTTATTACGTTCTAGGATAAAATTCCTGCCGGGCGACTTGATGGGAGCGAAAGCCCCGTAATGCTTTCGGATAATAAAACAAGATTATTGGAAGATGAGCCGCGTCGGCCGGGCCTCGCAGGGAAACGCTGCAAGTTATTAACAAATTTCTCACCGAGGCGATTAGAAAAGCGATTAGAAAAGAAAAAAATATCATTTTAACGTCATCCCTCCCGCTCACGCATTTCTTTTTATATTCTTTCTGTCGTAGTCTATCTAATCTAAGTATTACGACACATCTGTCTTAAAATGACATCGCTGATACGCATATCGAGATAATCGAGATGAATCGCAGGAAGCGCAATATTATAGAGTGACTTCTGCTCATAAAAGGGCCACTTGTATGTTCTTCAAGTAATTACTCGCTGGAATTTTCCGTTAGAAAAAATTTCAGTCTCACTGAAACCTTCTGCCCTTCGCTGTGCATCCACTCTCTCTCTCTCTCTCTCTCTCTCTCTTTCTCTCTCTCTCTCTCTCTCCTTCTCTCTATCTACCTCTCTTTGTCCCGCAATTCGCGCGTCTCTCATATATTTGCACGCGTACACAGATACGAACATTTTACGATTGCACAGGCTTGCGCGTAAAAAAAAAAGTCCGCACGGAGGGAGACGAAATATCGCGAGCTCGGTGACTGTCGGAGACCGGCGCAGACGAGCGGGAAAATAAACTCCCGGCAACGGAGCGGCGCCGACCGGCGGTCTCACAATAGGAAGCATCTGCTTAGCAAATTGCGAAAAATAATAACGTTTGCGCCCAAATCCGTGGCCCGGAGCGCCGTAGGAGCCCGCGGAGCTACCGTGCCGTATACCGTAACACAATAACGCCCACTCGTGGAACTGTGCGAACTCGGGTGAGGAGGGTGAATGCGAAAGCGAGCGAGAACGAGAGACAGAGAGATAGATAGATAGATAGAGAGAGAGAGAGAGTGAGAGAGAGAGAATGAGAGAGAGAGAGGGGTGGGGGGAGGGTGGAGGGTGGGAAGGTTGAGGTGCAAAACGAGCGCCGTAGCACAATTCGTAGCACCCCGTGGTAGTGCACCGCGAAAACAATATGTCGCGTATATACGCGGAGGATCGCGTACGTGATGTGCTCGTCACGCGTGACACGGAGTCACCCAGCCGAAGGCGATTCCGGGACTTCTTTGTGACCCTCACTTCCGCACCTTTGACTATGAATGCGTCCCCGTCAGCCGTGCGTGCTTCCTGCCGAGGATTCCGCCGAGAACTTCGGCACTCCGTATATTAACACCCGCGATATCGACCCGCGTTAAATCATCCGACATTGGGGATTTCTATCGAGCTACATATCACCTCCGACACTTATCTCATAATGTCCGGGCTTCGGCTTAGCGCGTACATATGTGTCGGCACTTTAAAGACCGCGCTCTTAGCGCGGAACAATGTTCGCCGGCAAATTTCGAGAGCTCGCTTAAGCCGCTCGTGTTTCAAAGTGACGTGCATTCTTCGTGCTGCACGTGATACCCACGTCCTTGTACACAGCTTCTGTGTGTGTGTGTGTGTGTGTGTGTGTGTGTGTGTGTGTGTGGCCCAAGAAGTATTATATAATAATTATAAACTCTCTGTCATTAACGCGGCCATTTTAAATAAGTCGCTCTGCAACCGAAGTCAACGAAGTAAAGCAACGCGCGTCGCAGCGGTTGCAGCCAGAGAGCCGCGATGGAGCTCGAGAGTGCTTGTTTATCCGCAGGTCACAGCGCTGAACAAAGTCATAACTTTGCTCGGTCAGGCTAGCTGGACGTTAAGCAGCAGCGATTGAATAGTCTCAAGCGACTTAACAATCCAGATTTGTTCACATAAAAATGCATACTTGCAACGCGCCGCGCGACGGAGGCAACGTTCTCCTTCGCGCGCGAAGGTAACGCTCGCACAGCTTCGCCGGCAAGAATCTGATGATCGATCGCGCACCAGTCGTCATCGTAAACTAACGCGTGAGGGAAACGCGCGAATACCTATCTGAATTATTGATCCATCGCCGGCGCTCGCGCGCTCGGCGGATACGCGCGGCCAATGTTTAACGCGACATAATACGCCGGCATGACTAATTTGTGCCGTTATCATCGACGCTAATCGCCATCTATCTACGAGGATAATGAATACCGCAAATTAATAACGCTCGATTGACACGTTACGTCCGAGCTTCATCCAGCGAACGACGTGCACATTGTGTTCCTAACAAGAGCGCGCGCACGTTTCCCAATCCCCTTAACTCTTTCACCGACACACACACACACACACACACACACGCGCGCGCGCGTGTTCGTTACGCGAACGAGCGGGCGTCCCTCCCGGCGGCGGCGAGGATAACTCTCTGCCGAGGAACGTTATTAACGAGAGCGAGAGAAGATATTTCCGATTCGACGGACGGAGTCGCAAATCCGAAGAATTACTTACGTATATTTGGTGGAAACAGCGGGGCGATGTTTAATTCATCGTAGTAGATGTGCGCGATTAATACGCGCATTAGCATCAATGTGCTAATCGCTCCCTTGCCGGTCTCGTCGGCGAATCCTGAATACGGTAAATTAATTACAACCAATTAATATGTAATATTCGTAACAATAATGTGTTTCGTCGGCGGATCCTTTCATACGCACTCGCGCGTTAGGGCCGCCGGGAGGAGAAGCGGCATTATCAATGGCAGAAAGAGAGAGAGAGAGAGAGAGAGAGAGAGAGAGAGATTCGCCGTTATCCAGGGAGGAATTTTACGTCCATTTTCGCTCGCGCACTCATCGCTCGGGATCTCATCGGCGATGTTTAATGCAACATTACAGATCGACGGGAGATTATCTCGCGCATTATCATCGCGAGCGCGAACGTGACGAATTATTAACATTCAATTGACACGTAATATTCCGAACCGTCATGCATTTCGCAGTCTTGTAATTCTTCATGCGCCCGCCCGTACACGTCAGTCGTTTATTACGCGAGCGTGCGAGCCGGCTTCCGGCTATCAAGAAACGAGGAAGCGTTATTAACGGGAGGGGGAGGGGCAACGGGGACGAAGAGGAGGAGGCTGCGAGAGAAAAAAGGTTTTCGCGCGGGAAGAGGGAAGAAGTGGGACAGGAGTCGTATTCAAAGGAAAATTTATCGGCGATATTTCCCGGACGGCAGCGTCGGCGTCGGCTTCTGTCGATTCCTATTAATCATCGCCGCACAACTGCGCGTACCCGTATCAACACGCGGCCGAAGATACATGCCGGGAGTTTCTCATGCCGCGATGCGATCGCCACATGTGACCACGGTCCGACATTCTCATGGCAATCGCATATCGGAGCATCACGTGCGCGACACGCGTGTAACTGGCTCTCCCTCTCCCTCTGTCTCTGTCACCCTTTCTCCCTCTCTCTCTCTCTCCCTCTCTCTCTCTCTCTCTCCCTCTCTCTCTCTCTCTCTCTCTCTCTCTCTCTCTCTCTCTCTCTCTCTCTCTCTCTCTCTCTCTCTCTCTCTCTCTCTCTCTCTCTCTCTCTCTCTCTCTCTACCCCTCTCTCTCTCTCTCTCTCCATCTGTCCCTGTCTGTCACCACCTTTCCCATATTCTTGCACATACCAGATCGCCACGATTGCAACCTGGCAAATTAATGCAGTCACCGTTGTCG